TTCAGGAAAGCCGTTACTGGAAGTGGCGTGAGGGGAAGCCTGCTTGCTGAGCATTGATGAGGGAAGTTAGAAAGAAGAGCAGACACACAGAAAGAAGATTCTTTTGAAAGAGAAGAGGTATGCTCGAGAGGTAAAGGAGAATGAAATATGGAACTAATTTTATCAATTTGTAATTGGTCGATCTTGCAAAAGTTAGATAATCACGCTGGGCCTCAACTTCCCTGTCTATAAAACAAGGGATAATATTAGTAGCTATTATTTCTGGGAATCAAATGAGTTAATGCCATTATACTAAGTAGATTCTTAGCAGATCAATACCTCAAGAGAGATGCAGTGAAGGTGCGTGGTAATTTAGGAGAGAGCAGTTGCTTCCAGCTTACAAAGATAAATGTATTTCTTTCTTTTTTTGTGTGTGTGGTAAAAAAAATATAGCATAAAACTTGCCATCTTAATGGATTATATAATTTGGTAATGTTACGGATATTCACATTGTTGTTCACCCAATCTCCAGAGCCACGTGTCTCACAAAACTGACATTCTGTACCCCGAGACATTTCCCTTCCTATCAGCCCCTGACAAGCACCATCATCTTTTATGAGTTTCTTTCTTTTTTTTTTTTTGGTATTGGGGATCCAACTCGGGACCTTGTGCTTGCGAGGCAGTCGGCAGAACCACTGAGCTAAATCCCGGCCCATGAGTTTCTTATTCACATGAATGGAACACACAAGATTCGTGCTTCTGTGATGTGCTTATTTCACTTTAGCATAATGGTCTCAAGTTTCAGTCATGTTGTAGCATTTGCTTTGTATGATTATATCATTCTTTGTTCATACATTCATGTGTGGATGGACAGTTGGGGTGCATCCATGTTTTGGTTACTGTGGTTTTGTGAGTGATGTTCTATGAACAAGGGTTTATAGATACCTATTTCTCTTTTTCAAGCCAGCAGTGAGTTTGCTTTTCTGCTTTGTGTGTGAGTTATGGCTGGTCCAGGCTGTTTTGGGACTGGACCCTGCAGGGGAAGTAGAATAGTAATGTTTAGTTAAGTGTTTTTTTTTAAAACAGAGTCTCTCTCTAATTCAGGCTGGGCTTGAACTCATTATGTAGCCCAGGCTGGCCTCCAACTTGTAGCCATCCTCCTGCCTTAGCCTCCTGAGTGCTAGGATTACAGGTGTGCACCACCACGGCTGGCTAGAGTGGCTTTTAGGAGATATCTCCAGATGGAAAAGCCTTTTGCCTTTGGAACACAGAAGTACAATTCACAAGAGAGTGATGCTTGTTTATTTTCCAATTCAGAAGTGAGGATCCCTGTTCAATTCTCCTTTAAACTCAAGTTGCTGGAAGACCTCAGGTGTCTCCCATTGTGTGGGTCTGTAAAGTTGTTTTTATTTATGTGCCATTTATTTTTTCCTGTGGGGAAGAGCAGTGATAGTGAGGAACAAAGAAGCTTCTAGAAAGGTGAGGAGCGCCTCAAGGGAGTCCTGGTGTGAGTTAATGGTGAGAGGCCTGTGTTCATCTGTCACAGGGTGAGGGTCCAACCCCACTGCCTCATCATGTCCTGGTGGTCTCTAGCCTTTGTCTTAATTCTTACTTCTCTTCTCAACAAGGAAAGACATTAAAAGAAGAGCGACAACTGTCTTGTGCTTGTCTTTACTCAATTTTTAAAAATATGCCTCTTTCTACATTAAGAGAGGAAGAATGTGTTTTTATTCTGTCAACCTCCAGAGAGGGGATTTCTTTATCCGATTAAGGACAGACCCGATTAGCCTGATCCAGCCATGTTCCAGAAGTTTCTTTATTGACCAGGGAGTGTGGTGCCACCAGAAAGAACTGGAATGTGTAAATTGGGTCTTCAACTTTTTAAAAGATTTACAAGCAAATTATCTTCAATTTCTCTTAAGTGGCTTGATGTTGAATAAGCCAGAACAGAACTGGGTGTAAAGTAGATTGAGACTGTCATTTCAGGTTAAAAGTAAGAAGAAAAGGTAAAAAGGAGAAAAAATTTAAATAAGCTAGCTTTTTGTAAGGCTTATTTAGTGACCATAATGGCTCCCCACCACCACATGCTAGTTTTATGGCCCCTCCCTCATTAGAGTTTTGAGAGAAGGTATCCTGGCTCATTTTGATCCCTTTTCCTTGTTATTTCCTATCTTGTATCTTGTCCCAAGTTCTTGAACTTTTGTTTTACTCAGTTCCTGGGCTTTTTTAGGTGTAGCATTAGATGCATAAAAAGTTATTACCTGCTTAGTCTTATAAAGGATATTGGGTGTTAGTGCTTCCATACCTCTAAAACTTAGTCTTATAAGATTCTGTCTCCCATTTGCTGGAGAAAACTGGGCCCCTCTGGGCTGAAGATATATTTCTTTGGATCTGAGCTGGGGACCCTTCTTTAGGGACGCTGACTTGACTGCTGAACATAGGAGCAGGAACTTCAAGATGAGCCTTTGTCTTCTTAGTTGAAATGGGGCAAGATTCTGCTATCTGTTGCCTGGACTTTTGTCATTTTAATATTAAGAGGTTAAATGTTATTTGGGCATGCAGTAAGAGCTAGGCCTTATGCCAACTTCAACTTCCAATTCTGATTGGATATCATCCCATTCAAAAAGCCAGTATTTCTTAAGTTTTTAAATCTTGGTGTGAAACCTAAATAGAAGTGACTTTTTCAGAATAATAACCTGTGGGAAACAACTGGTCCTAGGAGATGAAGTCCAGACTGAGAATCATTAGACCAGGATTTTCTCCCCCTTGTTCAGATATATCTGTGTGCTATGAGATGAACAGAGAAACACTTTCTCTAGATGTAAATATTTTTGGTGCATGAGGCTTTTGAAAAGATTGTGCCTGCCTTTACCTAGAGGATTTTAATTCTTATCCCTGAACTTTTATGAACAGCTATGAGAAAACAGTAGGAAAAAAAATCCCAAAGCAAGTTGGAAGAAGGTGGTGCCCAAGGTTACAGGTGGAGGAAAGGGTCTGGACATTGGCAGGTGTCTGGGGCATGGGAGAGAGAGACACCAGAATTCCAGGCATGCTGTCTCCTTTTTTTTTTATGGTACATGGGATCGAACTCAAGACCTTATGCGTTCAAGGCAGGCACGGTGCCACTGAGCTAAATCCCCAGCCCATCCTATCTCCTTTCTGAGTGAGTTTGTGTTGTCTTTTCCTAACTGATAGTGCAGATTATTTAAACAACAACAAAAACAACAACTTAAGCTACTATCCACGACTAGAAGCCAACTCTCAACATTGTCTATTTCAAAATGGACCACAATTCTGTCTATTCTGGTAGGTTTTCTGTGGACTTATTGCCCAGTCTCCTCAGTCCCCCTACTGCCCTTAGTGGTCTGGTCCACTGCTAGAAAGCTTTTCTCCCTAAATAGGCTGCTTCCTCAACTCCCCATTCCCACTGCTCTTTACATGTTCAGCTGATTCTGCCCTTGGAGTGTTGGCCATACTTATGCACAGGGGTTTGATAGGCATTTTATCAAGGTGATTCAGTACCTAAGACAGCAAGCAGTAGTGGCTGACCAGGAAGAGATTGATTGTTTGGGGCAGTTGGGCCTCTTAGTGCTCAAGAAATTCCATAGCATGTGCTTTAGTGAGCCCAATTTTTCATACTTGGTTACGTTCTGTATAGTAAGAAATTTTCATTAAATATTAAAGCTGGAAAGGACCAACAGGAGTCAGTTTTTTCATGACTTGGTGTATGGATAGTTTGGTGCAGTGGCTTGGGACAGAGGTGGTAAAACTCATGAGTCAGTGGTCCTCTCCAGCAAGAAAAGCCTGGCCCAGTGACTTGGTAGGATCAATGAGTTTGGCAGTTTGGCAGTTGTCTGACAATGTTACCAAGTTAGTAGACTGGGGATCTATTTGTGTGCTCAGGTTAATCGTTTATTTTGCTGGCATTCATTTGGGGCTGCTAGTCCATTTGTAATTCTGAAAGTTGTTGGACATTTGTTTAATGCAAACAAATGTATTTGGAGACATCCAGCATTCTAATTACCCATATTGGTAGGAATAAGATTCTTGCTATAAAGTAATGTTTCAAGACATTACAGACTGTGATAAGGACAAAATGTCTTTTGGAAGGAAATTTTAAAATTAATGAATCAATTTCCTAAGTTTATTATTCTGTTTTGGCAACATACTTGTGTATCTCTGGATATAAATGAGGTGAAGTCGTAATTATGACACTTAAGTGCAGCACAATTGTGGAAGATCTATAATTGCAGTTTGCCAGTTGGTAATAAAATGAAAATGTCTGGAGATAATTTTCATTAAAATTGTTTTAGACTTTCCTATTCCTATATGAAGTGGACCAGGTGGAGGCATTTTTAAAAGTAAACACACAAAGATTATTTAATCAATTATTATGCTAAAATAGGATACTCAAACTATTTCTAATAGTGTTTCTGTCCTTCAGTAACTTAGGGTTTTGTTTTCTGAGACTGTGTTTACCATCTAGAAGCTTTTCAATTTCATCACAAAAATGTGCACACAACCACAGCTTAATTGAACTTGAGCTTCAATATTGGTCTAAATTACCTGAAGCACCTGATTTTTGTGTAACAGTTGTGAACATTTATTGAAACATGCTAGCAGTAAAGCTAGCTTTTAAGAGAAGATACATAAAAGGGTTATTAGAATTATTAGAAAATGATATTTCCTTTTTTGACTTTTTTCCAGAGGGGGGGAAAATCAAGGCAAGACTTAATTTGTTCTATTTCATCAAATACTTTCCATGTCCTCCCAGCTGGCCAGGTTCTTTTAATGCGGCATTTAAGCCTTGAGTTGTGAGTCAACAAATGGACAACAACAAATGTTCAGCCATCTTATTGGTGTCAAGCCCAGCATATTGGCAAATTACAGGAACGCACCAAATGCATCAACAAGTTTGCATGAGCCAAGTATGTTGAGGGAGGGCAGCAGCTGCTGGTTAGATCCTCAAGAGTAGAAATGCCCTCCGCATCCTCAGATCTGTTATTGCCCCAGGGTGGGAAATGGCAGCTGTAAGATTTAGGGTTCTGGGATAACAAGTTGTCTCTTTGAACTTTTCAGCCCCAAGAACTTTATACTATCCAACCAGACAGATATAGACATTTTTGCTTCCTTGAATAATTTTTGAGCTGTTTACAACATCAGTGGTGGGCTAAATATACATACACATAATATAATATAAAACCTTCAGAGGTAAACCATGATAATTTCCGAAAGAGGGTCCCTTCACTTGGTGAACTGTATTGGCGTTGGTGCCTCAGATACAAAACTCTGCGGGCTGCATTTATTTTGTAGTCTGAGCCTAATGGAACCTAATAGCAATGCCCCTAAGCTAAGGCAAAACATTCTACAGTATCTCTCTTCTACTCTTCCACTATACCAGTCCTTTTGTGTGTGTCTATAGGGTTCTCACTCCGCTTCTCTAAACTTTTCCCTTTAAAGTCTGGTGTTTGAAATAAACCTTTATGATTCAGTTATTATTTCTAATTGAAACAGAATGTCTGTGGTCATTATTCAGTGCTGCACTTGCTAGGGGAGATATTTCCTGGTTAATCAATAAAAGCCAGCTTTGTTTCCCACCACAAAAAACAACGTGGCAGGTAGAAGGGGCTTCTGACCTCACTGGCCCTTTAACAGCTTTGGATCAAAAGAAATTGGTGAACCACTTAGGTCTATAAATCTTCTTTTTCTGTGACTCCATCATGTTATGAGAATATTTCCATGGATATTTTGTTTATACAGAAAAACAAAACCCAAATCTCAAACCACCATTTATGAAAGCCACAAACTCCTGGGCTGTCATTTGGTCGCAGACTCGGAGCTCCCTTTCTGGATGGGTTATGTGTGGTGGGTATGTGCATTTCTGATGGGATGTCTTTTCAAAGCAAGACAGATTTAAGGATATAATTTGGTGACATTTTGCTGACTGTATGCTGTGGTACACGTGCTTCTTTATAGATTTTACTGTTTTAACTATAGATATCTTTTAGCTCTACTTGAGGCAGGCTCCACAGCTTTGTGACTGACACATGTGATAGCTCAATAAACACATTAGCCTTTCCCTGTCAACTTTAGTACTATTTTTTGGTCTATGGGTATGAATCAGACTATATTTAACAAGTGAGCTGACTAAATACCATTACATGAGTTGCCCTTTTTTTTGGTTTATGTCCTGCCCCAATTTTAAGTTTTCAAATTGAAATCTAGCACTTAACTACTACCTTTAACTCTCTGCCTTTTAATTTTGAATACCAAATATGGCAGAGTTATTCAGGTGGCCAACTAGACTTTTTCTGACCTTGAATGTGGTTTACTGGTATTACATTAAAAAAAAAATAAAAAAGGATGTCAGTATTTGCTGTTTTAGGGAGCTTGAGCCCTTGAGATTTCCCAAAGATCATTTTTAAAGTCTGACACGCAGCTGCCTGACTTCTCCAGTTTTAGCTAAAAGGCGCCTTCTCTGTGTTCGTGTTTAAGTGAGGCAGCAGTGCAGTGCTGGGGTAGGTTGCCGTGGGTTAATCTTGGGACACTTTGTATCTGACAGACACCAGCACCTGAGGTATACATTGCACCGTTCATTAGGTTAGAAATAACATTCTCCTAACCCTGATGGTAGTCAGGGGAATGTTTACTAAGATCAGCTTCCTTCCATTTGTACAGTTTTAAAGCTGGAAGTGAAACATAACACAAGTATGAGTTTAAAAAAATTTGTCATGCAAAAAGTAATTCATGCCACTGGTAGGCTGAAGTAACCCCGGGAATTCATGTTTGTGGTGGAATGTTGATCAAAGTGTATTCCTTTTGTTAGGAACTTGTCGCTATGTGTCTTAATATGGTTGCAGGGTATTAGTACATACTTCTAAGGGAAAAGGTATGTTTTCTTTTCCTTGTTTTTCTTTTTTGTGGGGTGGGCATGTAGATTCCAGCTAAGATATTTTATTAGTGAGTTTCCATAGCACATCCCAAAAGTCAAAGGAGATGCCTTTGTTTTAATATAATGCTGTCTGGGTAAAAGAGTCTTGTGTTGAAAGTTGAGCAGATCACAATTTATTTGTATGCAGCCTAAGAGCTTTAGGTTCTATAGTGTAGGACATATAATCTTATTAGAAAGCTCTTTAAATCAATTTAAAAACCTTAAAAGTGTCGTAACATTGAGTCTATTCCTTTACACAGAATACATTTTCAATTAAATTACTCTATTTAAATATACTACAGTGTTTTTTATTTAAAAGAGACATCCATCCTACCTGTATGTTCACAGCTGTCAAAAATACATGCCCTTCTTTATCACACAAATCTGTGTTCTCAGCCTTTTCAGAGCCTAACTCTGGGGGTGGCCATTTTGCTAAAAATGTGGTTAGATTAGCTGCCTCAGCCCAGGCTGGTGCTTGCTCAGAATGTTACCATTTCTTCGCCTAATGTGAGCATCACTTCCAAAATTTTGAATGACATAAAATTAAGGTCAGAGGGTCAAATATAAAAAGTAAATTTCACAAGTGGAAACGTCATTGGCATCCACTCATCAGTCTCTGAAATCTGCAAGCTGGGAGACCATTGTACCATTATCCCCGACTGATATTGAGCTGATACAAATTTAATGAAACACAATGGCAGTTATGAAGGGCAGCTGATAATAATGATGCAAACTCCACAAAAAAGTTGAGTAAAATCTGCAGGAGGTGTTTTCTATATCATTTGACCTTGTCCTGCTGGCATTTGCTTGGCAAAAGGGAGGTGTTGTCCTTATCTTTGTAGCTATAGAGATTTTAACTGTGCTTTCAAAGTCCGGAGCATGCATTTCTGTGACTGATGCTCTCTAGCAAGAAATAGAAGCAGAATAGTTGTAGGAAAATCCACCCAAACCTACAATAGTCATGCAAACCTGAAACAATTTGCAATTTTTTGGTAATCAAAACAAACGAAGGCCCTTTGGCTATTGAAAACCTCTTTTTCCCTTTCTGTTCAAGATGTAGTCAATGTGTACTTAATCTTAGAAAATAGGGTGACCTCAAATATTTTTCTTGAGAGTTGATGGTGTGTTTTGATTCTTAACCACTTCTCTATAAAGCTAGATGAGCTCTTTTATGTAATTAGCATCCTAAAACATACAATTGGTCATGTTTCTGCCCTGCAGAGTTTATGAGAGAAAAGTTGGCCTAACAAAGGGCCAAATGCATTAATTAAAGTCACGCCTAAGTGGGTTAACAGGATATAGATGTTTGGTTTTAATAGAGTTTAGAAAGGGTACTGAGTCCTGAAATGTTGTTTAGAAAGCTTTGCTCTATAAAATTTGCCTTTAACACAGCTGATGACCCTTATTTAAAATGATATACTCGCTGGTGTGATGTCTCTTTGAGAAGAAGCACTACTGGTGTTCCTAGGAATTATTAATTTTAATGTATTAAGATACCTTTGTCTGAGCATGGCATTTCTGAGTACCTGTCTTCTCTGCTCTGTTTCAGGTGTGAATCATGAGAGAGCGGAGAGGCCTGTGATTTACGTTTTGGAGGGCATGCCTGAGTGTGATTAAGGGATTTAAGTGCAGGACTCTAAGATTTACTTCCTTCCTGTTCCAGCAGGGTTACCTGAAGGAGTGAGTAATGGGGTAATTTATAACACCACAGGCTCTTTGTCAAGACCACTAGTCAAAACAGGAAGATCAAACTCAGGTTTCAATGGGCAGACTACAACTTTTGATACTCTCTGGACATCCTTCTTAATTATAAGTGGAAGATCTTCAAGAATTTTCCTAAGGAGATGTCCAAAGGTTAGTATGTCAGTCCTGGTTAAATTATGTAGACACTGTTAGGTTGGGTACATTTTCTCCTCCCTTTTGCTTCTTTATATTCTTGTTGCTGGGATATAAAAACAGCTTAGTGGCCTGGTTATAGAGCTCTAGGTCTTTTTACAAGGACAAAGAATTATCAGGTATTAGGAGTGTAATGACAAATTCAGCAACTTTTTCTTTTTGAGGAGTGGAGCTTTTCCCTATTAGCCTGTTTCTTAGAATCAGTTTTCATTTATAAATAGTTACTCTAGTTTTGAGTTAAAGAAATGGGGCAGAGTAAAGTGGATAAAGAGTTTCTTTTGTGGGCCAGAGATAGCTCAGTGGTAGAGCTTGTGTTTAGTATGCACAAGATCCTGGGTTCTACCTCCAGGTCGCTCCCCTTTCCTCAAAAGACTCAAGACATACATTTTGTCCCCCAATCTGTGTGTGTTTAGGACAAAAATGTTTTGCTGGCTTTGGAGAAGGCTTTGTCTAGAGATTTATTTTAATTTTCAAGCAAATAGAGGAGTATTTGCAAGTAAGGCATTTGGTAATGCTCAAATAGTTTATTTCATCACAAGTGGTTCTCAATATCGGATTTTGTGTTTTATTTTCATATTTTCTAAAATGCCAGATAAAGCATTTGAAACAAAAAATCATCCTACAATGAAAGTCCATTCACTATCTAATGTGATGGAGTCTTCCTATTTGTTATTGTTGATAAGATTAGCTCCATGAACATTGAGCATCACAAGCGAGATATTTTTATGTGAAAAATATTAATTTCACCTTTCACTTTGGAGTGCCTTAATGGTTGGACTTCTTATTTTAGAGATTGTAAAGATAAAATGGGAACAATTCCAAGCTCTTCCTTTTCTCCCATCTGCCCTAGGTGACTAAAACATTCCCATAAATAACTAGTACCCTTTTGAACTGACCTTTAGGTTCATGAGATGTAAATATTGATGGCCTTGACTTTTTTTCCTCTGTCCCCAGTCCAGGAGATACAATATCTCCAGATAACTGGAAACAGGTGCGATTGGTAGGTAGACAGCCCTGGGCTTTCGCTGATCCCATAATTCTGAGGGAGCCGAGACATGGCCCTGTTTCTGGACTTTATGAAGAGGGAATGTCTCATAGGCAAAGCAGTCTTCAAGTTCAGTTCCTCCAAGTGTTCCTATAGCCAAATCTTGCTGGATTAGACCCCTCTAGATGTCTGAATTGTCTGGCCTTGTAGATGTTTTCTAAGGCAAATAATATGTGCTCACATCCCTGAAATTAAGGAATCCAGTGCTGCTACTTTCTAGGATGATACTGTGCAACAGTTAAGTGCCAGGGAGCAGAGTTTTTGGGCTCCAATCCTGCTCCGACCACTTACTGACAGTGTGATCTTAAGAAATTATTTAATCTGTCTCAATTTCCTCACCTATAAAATGGGGACAAAAATAACATTTACCTTTTCTTTTTTAAAAGAATTAAATGAGAGCTATGCAATCATGATGAGCAATTTAGTAAAAGACTTATTGCATGTCTGTATTAGCAAGCTTTCAGATATCCACCCTGTGCCCAGGAAAGTAATTTACCAAGCTAGGAAGACCAACAGCTTAAGAAAATACAGGAATTTGAAGGTTTGTGTTCCTGGAGTGGATGCTCTGTTATGAGAAAATCATACCCTAAAAAAAAAAGGGAATATAGCATTTATTTTGCAATATGCTCTAACAAGTTTTATTTTGTTACTGGTTGTAAAGTAATTTTTCTGGTGTTATGAATGTATTAAAAAAGGGAATATTAGAATATTTGGCCTCACTGTATTGTCAAGCATTATTGGTAGGCCTGGTTTATGAACTCCACCCCCTGCTGGGATTATTATAGTGCACGAGGGATAGAATTACTCCACTCTCCTTTGGGTACTTCTTTCATTAAGAAGCAAGGGCATCATGGGCTGGTATCATGAAGGGTATCATGAGATGTCGAAGCATTGTGTGTATATTACCTGAGCAGTTAGGCACACCACCCAGAGAGGGGTTTTAAAACTGAGGGGGAAAAGGAAAAATTGGAAATAAATTGACATGATGGAAATAACAGAAGCCTCTTTTGCAGAGAACCCCTAAATGATTCTTAAAAGCAGACTTAATAGCCAGCAACAGAACCATTCACTATTGTCTTTAAGAAACAAAACCTGATCCACAAAGTTGAAACTGAAATATGAAGCTGGAAATTTTCCAGGGAAGTCCAGCAATACAGGCTGCTGGGTCTCAAATTCAAGGGAGGGAAAAATCCATTTTACAAAGTAACTTCTTACATTGTGAGCCGTCAGTGTTTGATGGGTAGATCCTGAAACATTAACTGATTAAACTCTTCAGTGCTTGGTGGTCATCACAGTGGACCCCACTGTTCTGAGCTTCTGTATTTGTGCACTGACACGGGAAACAGTCACTAAATGAGGAGTGGAGAGTAGAGTGGTGCGTTTTGGCATCAACCTGATTTTTCCTAAGCAGAACCAGCAGAAAGATGTTGAATGCAGTTGAAATATTATTGATTGCCTATGCTTTATGGCACCTAATAAATTGTCCAGTTCCTTAAAAACACCCCATCTGCCAAATTCTCCTTGTTTCAATCACAGTTACACAGAAATTTCATGGAGGGAGAGCTATGTGGGCAAGTATTTAGCACAGTGTTGGACACCTCAACAGCTCTTTTCCTTCATGCTTGTGGGCACTCATACTGTTTAGTTCCATTTGCAGGTGAGAAAAGAGTCTGTCTCCCACCTGGGTATTTTAACCTAGGTGGCCCCCGCCCCCAAATCTATGTGCTTCCTCAGCCTTTTTGCCCGTATTCTGGGAGTGGAGTGTGGTCTGACACCCTCCACCTCCGATTCTGGGTTTCTCTGTGTACCTGAGCATCTCTGGGCTAATGACCTTGTGGGAATTTGGGTGGTGTGGGGCTCCAGAGATCACCTCAGATGCAGAAAAGGAGGTCCAGAGAAATGAAGAAATTTGCCAAAAGGTCATTCAGCCCACACATGTCAGGGCTACACATCCAGGCCTTGTGATTTCAGTTTTTCGACTGAGGCATGCTGGGAAGCATGTGGTAAAGTATGGGCTGCAGGGCGGTTAATGGACTGACACGGCCTGATGCAGGAAGGAAAGGAATAAGAGGAGGTGGCTAAAGAAGGAATCAGGGCTGTGGATGAGGTTTGTTGGAAATTGTGTTAGAGGATCACCCTTTGGTCAGGAAGCATGAATATTCTTTCTCTAATATAAGAGAAAAGGAAAAGATTAAAAGCGTGCCAAAGAACAGATATTTTTTTGGTAGCTCTTTACTTTTTATTGAAATTAGGCAACAATGAATATTTATTCATCCTCAGGTAATTTAGAGGAATGGAGTATGGACAATTCTGATTTTACTCCTTGCCTCTTGTGGTCTATGCTACCTTTTGTTTGGCTAAAAATGGGCTAAAAGAAAAAAGCCAGTGAAGCACTTTCCAGATCTGATAGCTTCTCACGTCTCAGGAGAAACCTCTGGCTCGAGTCCCAGGGTGAGGTCACACAGTCTGATATTGGTCGGATTTATAATGGGATGTCACCCAAAGTACAAGGCATGTCGCCATGACTCCTGGGAGCCATTTATCAGGTGGTGAGAATGGTTCTCAGTCAGCCTTGTACCTCAGACTACTCTTCAGAAGCATAGCCCACCCATGAGAATAAGTATCCATTTCTATTGATAGTTATAAATTCATGTGGAAAACATGACTTTTTGGCAGTTGGAATTATGACTTAGTCCTTTTCTGTGTTCACTTATACTCCTGAATTTGTACCTGTCTATGTCCTGAGGTCTGATGTTTTGGCTTTTACCAATCTGTTTTCCTAATTACCTAGGGACTCATTTTATGGGAAGGCATAGTTGAATTGGACAAGAAATATTCGATTACTTACGCCCTATGTTGTCAAACAAAAAGTAACCAGGTACAGTGGTGTACACCTGTAGTCCTAGCTTCTCCAGAGCCTGAGGTGGGAGGATCTCTTGAACCTAAGAATTTGAGACCAGCATGAGCAACATAATGAGACCCAGTGGTTCCGCTGCCTGCCTCGCAAGTGCAAGGTCCTGAGTTCCATCCCAGGTACTAAAAGCAAAAAGGGGAGGAAGGGAGGGAGGAGAGAGAGAGAGAGAGAGAGAATAAATGAAGAAGAAAAAGTCTATTGAATATATGTAAATAGGAATAATGTTCATGGTAACAACTAATATTTATTGAGTGGTTGTGTGCTATGCACTATTCTAAGTACCTTACAAATTACTAGAATGAACCTGTGGAGTTTGTACTCATTTGGCAGACAAGGAGCTGAGGAACAAGAGAAGTGATTAGAGACATGCAGTATCTCAAAGGACTTACGATGAACTTAGAAAATTAATACTCCACTCAGTAAGCTGAATGCCTAAATGCCTGCTAACGTCATGAGTGCGTGAATACTGTGCCTCCTTTTACTTTCCCAAAGGAGCCTACAGTGGAATGGAGGTGTGTTTATGTAGGCTAAGATTTAAAATGTATTGATAGTAATGGGAAGGTAATTCTAAGAGGAGCACACTGACAATTACTTGGACTGTTTTCCAACTTTACTTCTCCTGGAATCATGTTAGAAAACTAAGAATCTTGAACTGTGTTAAAAGTAAAAGCAAAACACTAAAGAGAATAGATTCATCAAAATCTGTATGCCACACTGAGTATGTAAAGTGACTATCACTAATTACATCGAATGGCAATAAGAGAAGTTAGCTTGTGCAACCATGGGAAATGACATCCTTGATGTGTTCAGCAACTAGTTTGATACCTTGGGTGCTAACATCTTTGACCCTGGTTCTCAGTGGTGAATGTCACTGGATGGGACCAAGCTGGAGAGGAGGAAGGGGTGTAGACAATATGATGGCTGGGAAGCAATGTGCATGAGCTTATCTGTCATCTCCTCGGTGGCCATGATGTGTGGTGGTGAGGGTACATGAAATGG